AAAATTGAAATTCAACCAAAACTTGAATATTAATATATATTTATAACTCACGAAAAATATATAATTAATAAGATCCAATGAAGAAAAAAAAAACATACAAAAACTATTTTACTGGAAAAGGAGAAGATAATATGAACAAATATATAAAAACTTTGGTAACATATGGCAGTTGACTTATAACTGCTATATTTTATCAATAAAAATAATGACAAAGAATGGTCTCTTTCAACAAGATAAGAAAACAAGATAAGAAGACAAAATTGTAAACTATCATATGCAATTATTCATGTCAAAGGAAAAATAAAAAATAAAAATAAATAAATAAATAAATAACGCGTTCAGTATGAAAGATAAGGAAAAAACTAATAAAAAATATTATTGCTTCACATGATCAATTGATTTTCAAGATGAGCGCTCTATAAACAATGATAATTCAAATTTTTGTATATTAAATATTTTATTTATTGACATTATTTTAAGATTTGTAAATATTTTTATGATTTTCTCAATAATTTTAAGAGTTTATTTAACCGTAAGTATATAAGATAAATTTCTTAGCAATATTTATTTAATTTTATAAGTTTATTAATAACAATTATGTTAGTATTAAATGTGACATGGAGGCCAAAACTACCGCTAATTATACATAATATGAATCTTTAATATAAATCAATTTTATTTCTTAAGCAAAAAATAAAGAAACAATACAATTTACCAAATAATGGCTTTAATGTTTTTAAATTATATTTTAAGACTATTGAAATCTAAATCAAATTGTGTACCATATGTTTGTATGGTTCATGAAAAATATAATAGTATTTGAATGAAAAAAAAATTGAAATTCAACCAAAACTTAAATATTAATATATATTTATAACTCACAAAAATATATAATTAATAAGATCCAATGAAGAAAAAAAAGCATACATAAACTATTTTACTGGAAAAGAAAAAGATAATATGAACAAATATATAAAAACTTTGCTAACATATGACAGTTGACTTATAACTGCTATATTTTATCAATAAAAATAATGACAAAGAATGGTCTCTTTCAACAAGATAAGAAGACAAAATTGTAAACTATCATATGCAATTATTCATGTCAAAGATTTTAATTTAGTTTTAATGTTCATATTTGTCAATCTTCCCCAAACAAAAAAGATTTCGAATAAACAAGACTAACTTAGATAATGAAGGTTTCTCAACCAATATTTTCATGCAATCTTTTTCACTATTACTTTTAAATATTATTTTTTCAACTTTCAATATATTTGACACTGTCCATTATGTAATGTACTTCTTGTGATTGATTAATTGAAAATAACTATTCAAAAAATTAGAATAGATCATAAAAATATAAAAACTATAACTTATATAAGTAAGAAAATTGAAATCGATAATATTTTTCCTCATAAT